CATCCCCCGACGTAGGTATTAAATATTTAATAATTATAATGGTTAATACAAAATTCATATTAATGATTCTCCTTTCTTATGTAGATGCTTCTTGGACCTTGACATATCCATCCTAAACATTCCATACTGACTTGCGGCCGAAGACACAAGACTATCTCAGTTTACCCTTACCTCCGGACTGTCATAAGTCCATGGCTGACTCAAGGAAGTACAACCCACGTGCTGCGAGAAAGTTAGAGGAAATGCTTCCAATGTTGGGGACTAGGAAAGCTGTTGCACTCGCAGCAAAAGAAAGAGAGATAACGAATGGTAAATTGTATAAATACTTTTAATTTTCATATTTATATATTATATGATATATTATCATGTTATTATTGTAGGCGCTAAGCCAGATCGCAAAGAGAACAGACATGGCGGAGGTAAGCCTGAATCTAAACAACCGCCAAGAGGAATGAGGGGGATAATTTGATGGAATAGTTCTAATTTGCCGGTTGATCCTTGGTCGACCTGATTGAATGCATATATTGGGGTTCTCGTGCGTAGAGCGAACATTATCAACCTTTATTTTCATTTCCGAGAATTACCATGGACCGCATACGAGGCGATATGGACTGAGCTTATGGTAACTAGATATTGTTTTAGATTTTTATTTATTAATAATTAGTAATTGATATTAAATTATCTTTACTAAATGTGTATGTAAATGTACATGACTGCTTCTGTCTTGAGGACTTTGAGGGGGCTTGGAATTATGTGTTTAATATCAAGGTTGAAGCAGTCCTCAAACAATGGAGGCATGAGATCAAACATGAAACCTATGACAGGTATGAGGAGGACAGGCAAAGGTTTTTAAACCTCGATGACCGAGTTGACGATATTCATTTCACGGCTCTCCTCATGTATTGGGACAGCGATGCCGCCAATGTTAGTTTCATGAAAATTACTTTATAATTTTAAGATATTATTTCATTACATATTTACTGAATTTTTTTAAAAGAATAAATCTAGGAAGGGGTCAGAAAATAGAAGAAAGAAGCTGCATGACCACCACTTGGGCTCACACTCCTATGCCAATCTGAAGGATGTTTATTGTCAGGATACGGTATATGTCATTTAAAGCATTAAGTGATCTTAATGCTTAGTATGATTACGAGTGTGATAATTTATAATATGACAGGAAAAATTATTAATGCCGATACACTTGAGGGCAAAAGCGGTGTATGGTACTTTTCATGATAGATATAGGGGTCATGAGAAGAATCGGGATAAGATCAAGACAAATCTCGAGTTGGTGGTGAGACTTATACATATCTTTAGTATTATTATTAACTCTATTTTGTTGTTAATATTACGAGGAAACGAGAACACAAATAATATGGTCTTTACCTTAAATTAACTATATATTTGTGTTTTAGGAGGGATTTGAGGCTGTATCTAAGGAGGCTGCATTTGTGTACATTTCATAGGAGGAGGAACAAACCGAGCCGGACCCTCACATGCTTTCTATAGAGGAGAACATCACTCTCACACACAACCTGATGGGTCATAATAGGTATGGATGGTAAAAAATCAAATCAATTTGAAAACTATGTTCCTATTTATATTTGTTTACTGAGCAAAATTTAATATGTATTTCTTCCTAATAATAGGAGAGGAAGATATCCTCTGCATGGTGTTGGAGCTTCACCCAACATAAGCATGAGATCATCCACAACATCCCCCACGCCATCTACATCAATGAGAATAGTCCCAAACAGTTTCCAGGCTATGCCATTTGTCGCACGTATCTCTGCATATTTGATTGACAAGATTGACCCGGAGCTGCATATTCAGGTGACTAATGAGATGACTAGAGTTGCGTTGACAGCAAATTCGATGGACGATCTCATGGGGTATGTTATATAATATTTAGGCGGTGCGATTCCTTATAGCGCGTATGGTGGTATCATACAGATCATAAGCTCGATTGGCGATAATTCCGGCGCTAGATAGAGAAGTGCTCAGGTACCTTATTTGTTCTTATATTTATAAATTTATTTTTATTTAATATGTTATCAAACACCACATAATGATTATTCAATTGACTATTCAGAGTGGAGATATTGGAGGGAGCAGCACTCGTTCTCGTAACATGGATAGAGATACTACCGACGATGACGATAGATGAGGTTTTTTGTTTTTAATGCAATAAACAAATTTATTTGTTATAACACTATATTTATTCATGTCATGTATCCTATCTTATTCATGTACATTGTTAGTATATATGCTGTTGGATGTATATATTAGACGGATTTGGTTGATGTATATTTTAGAGTGGATGGTTGGATTTGTGCATTATGTTGGATTTGATTATATTTGGTTTTGAATGGAATTGTTATGAATTTTGATTATATTTGGATGGTTGGATGTATTCATGTATACAATATTTATGGGATGTATTCATATATTAATGCAATTGTACAGGGAAATACAAATTGTAATTAATTTTTTTTGCTGAAAATTATCAACCTAGACTAGATTTCCGTCTAGGGTGAGACATCCTAGATGGAAATCCGTCTAGATTGTCATAATCAACCTAGATGGAAATCCGTCTAGGTTGACTCATCCTAGATAAATTTCCGTCTAGGATCAACCTAGATAGAATTCCGTCTAGATTGTTATTTCCGTCTAGGTTAACAACCTAGACGGATTTCCGTCTAGGTTGACAACCTAGATGAAAATCCGTCTAGGTTGTCAACCTAGACGAAATTCTTATTTCCGTCTAGGTTGACTTCCGTCTAGATTGATCAACCTAGACGGAATTCCGTCTAGTTTGAGTTAATATAGACGGAAGCAAAATAAACGGACCTAACTAGACAGAATTTCGTCTAGTTGAACTAACCTAGACGGAAATTTCCGTTTAGGTTGCTCGTTTTTCTACTAGTGAGATACACTATTGCACCTTTAAGACAAAGATAACTATGAATTATAATAGAGTTGAGCTGTGTCTTTACGCTTGCAAAGGCTGCAATAAGAAGGTGGATATAAATGTTGATAACGAGTGTCCAAATAATAAAGGTTGCAGAATATCTAATGACTTAGGATAATGCAATGGTAACACTATTTGACACAGTAAAAATTTTTATTGAGTGCACAACAGAAGAATTCATTAAAAGAAAAAATAAGTTAATCCTAACTTAACTTAAGTAATGAATTAGAAACACAGAAAAATTGTCACATATATGAAATTAACCTTTATTATCATTAACATTTGTTATCATTCAAATTACTTGAAAAGTTAGATGAGAAGATAAAAGATGAATGAGACCAAAAAAAGATAATAGCACGAGAAATCTAGGTCTAGAATGATGTCATCATCGACGTAGATGATGAAGACATCACTCTAGAATTACCTTAGAAAAAGATAAAAGTGAAGAAGTCTTGATCTCGGTTTAATAAAAAATAAAACAGAAAGAATAAAAGACAATATTTTCTTAATATTTTATAGAATAGCCTATTTTTTGAGTAAAATTTGGAATATTTGGAAGAGATTTTCACGAAATTTTAAATATTTTTATATACTTATTTTATGGACGCTTTTATCACATAAATTATACTAGAGTTAGTATTAATATTTAGTTTATGGTTTTTAATGAAGTCTATCAATGATTAGGAATAAAATCCATATTCCTTTTTGTGCTATTTTAGCCACTTCTAATCAATCGTTTAGGCTTATTAGCTTTAATTATTCCTCATACACTATTATAATGCTATTTTAAGTATTTTTTAGTTTTGTAACACTATACTTCCTTAGGTAAAGCTTTATTTTATGTCAATCCAAAGAACATGAATATTGAAATTGATTTCACGTTGATTCGTGTCAATTCAAATATTATCAGCATGAAACTTAAAATTGGGTGTAGCCATTCAAATAAACATTAAAAAGATAAATAATTACAATACTAAACTTTAGAGACATAAGTGAGCAAAAACTATCAAATTGAAATCGAAGAATAAATTTTAGTAAGGAAATAAACTAAAAATAAATAATTATGATAGTTAACCACGTGCAATGCGCGTGCATAAAAACTAGTGTGTGTGTGTGTGTGTGTTGTGTGTGTGTGTATGAATTAAAGGTTAAGATATAATAGCAATTTAAGTGGATGGATTAGATGATATGGAACGTGTCAAAAAATTTAGAGAAGGTGGAAGATGAGGTGTTATTCTCTGGTGAGTTTTTTAACTTTTTAGTTTTGTTTTAATGTATACCCTAGTTAAAGATACTTGAAAGGTGAATCCTAATCCAACAACACTCTAAATGCCAAATTATTTTATGTTTATTAATAATTGGGCCGTACTAATTAACGGTAATCAAATTGGATTCCAATACCATCAAGAAGAACCAGCAGACCTAATCCTACTGAATTTGACTTTCCTGTTGTTATACCCGTCAAATCTTCCATATTTATAAATTTACACCTAAATTAAATCTTGGTATTTGCAAGATCATCCTCTAAGCTAGCCCTTGTTCGTTTTTAATCTGGTCTGGACTATTTTTAAGTAAGGACTACCTAATGTGCCTCTCACATTAGGTTTTTGTGCCACTCCCATATATAACAATGTTGATTTTTAAATAGTACAAAATTTTTAATAATCACCAATAAGGTTGCAACACTTGTTTAAAAAATGAAAACTCCCAAGGAGGAGGGGGCATAAAAGTTCAATGTGAGAGAAGTTGGGGGTAGTTTTGCAAATACCAAGATATGGGGTGGTAAATTTGCAAATATGGAAGATTTGAGAGGTATATGCAGAAAACCCTAATTTAAGGGCCCCCAAGGGAAAAAGCTTACCCTTCACAGGAAAACATTCAATTAATGCTATCAAACCCCTGCACTTTATTCCCTTATATGAAACCCTCTTGTTCCCGCCAATATTCTTAATTAACCATATGAGCTTCTCTTGCATCGACGCTGGACTTCAAACAAGCCAAAATTTGAAACAATAACAAATGAATCATGTGATGATGAGAAATTCAAAGGTCTACCACTAGCTCTTAAACAGTCATGTGCTATTCAAATTGTGCATCAATTACTCTAGTTTAGAGCCTTATTGCAACATCAAGTTCTGTAGCATAAATCAAGCAACATTCATTCAACAAGAAGTTCCTGTCATGGTCTCATTTTTTCTTAGCCTTTTACAGTGCGACCTCCATCGACACAGATAACCTGACCAGTGATATATGAAGCAGCAGGCATACATAGAAATGCAACCAAAGATGACACTTCCTCCGGCTCACCTAATCGTCCCATAGGAGTTCGCGCACGTTGTTCTGATTTAAACTCCTCATCGTTCTCCAGTATCTATAAGCAAGAAATAACAACACCTGTAACCTTTCTTTTTCTTTAAAAGATAAAAGAAAAAAGAAAGAAATAAATCTTATAACATCAAAACCTGACTTCGTGGCTAAATCGATATCAAAGGAAACATGTAGGACTTACTGGCTGCAGAAGTGGCGTTCTAATGTGCCCAGGCGCAAGACAATTTGCTCGAATATTGTCTTTTGCCCATTCACATGCTAAATTCCTAGTTAGTTGGTTCATTGCTCCTAAGCAAAATAACAAAAAAGAATTAGACATGTATAGCGCCTTTAGGTAGACTTTCATCCATGTATTCACACAAGAAGGGCCGTTCTCCTACCTTTTGTTGCTGAATAAAGTGCAGCGCTATCTACAGCTACTTTTCCCAGAATAGAAGAGATGTTTACAATACTACCCCTGCCCGATGCCTTCAGAAGAGGGTGGGCAAGTTGGCATAGATGGAAAGCCGATTCAAAGTTAGTAGCCATGAGAAAAGAGAAATCTTCCGATGTATAATTCAGGAATGACTCCCTTCTACCGGTCCCTGCATTATTAATCTAGAAAGAGAGAGAGAAAGACATGAGTTGGGACAAATTGGAAGTGGGCATTTTCATTGTAAAGGAAGGCTATCATAGATTCAAAAAATTTCATTGATTGTTTACTATAAATTTATGAGAAAACTAAAGGTTGCTTGATGCTTACAAGAATGTTGAGAGTCCCGTTGAATGTGGAACAGACCTTCTCCATTAGTTTCTCTCGTTCAGCTCGAGAGGATACATCACAGACTGAACCTGTGATGCTAAAATCTAACTTCTGCCACTCCTGCAAACAATTGTTAAGCTCTGCCTCATTACGAGAGCATGTATGCACTGAAGCCCCAAGCCGCGCTAATTCTTCAACTATAGCATGTCTGCAATGCATAGGAGGAAACAAATTTTTAGACTAAGGAGAAAATAACTCTTATTGATGATTGAATATTATTGTATACAAGGGTTTATATACAGATTAGAAGACCTGTTAGATGTTGTTAATTAAATTGTTTAGTTGTTTACGTATTTGGGTACTTGAGTTTTTTCATCCATATCCGCTTATGTAAATTCCTTCTACCCTCTACTCAATAAAGGTAAGGGTTTGTTGGAAACTATAGCATGGCCTTCAGGCTCCTCTCGATGGCTTTGACAATGGATGTTGAAAGCCAATGGGATGGTGGTGAACAAGGTGGATCAATGCAGGTGCTAGAATTACGCAGAGACCAAGAGAGAAGGCTAACAATAACAATAAAGGTGATGTGGAGAAGTTTGAGGCCAGACTTGAAGGTAGCGAAGGCTAAGCCGAGGAAAAAGCCAGGGGAAGAAATAGGTTTTAACGTGGCCGGTAAAAGCAATTATGCAGAACTCAAGAGATGTTGAAAGCCAATGGAATGCTGGGAATAACGCAGAGATCAAGAGAAAAAGGCTAACAATAACAATAAAGGCGATGCGGGGAAGTTTGAGGCCAGACTCGAAGATAGCAAAGGGTAAGACAAGAGAAAAAGCCAAGGAGGAGAAATATCTTTGTAACTCACCCGTACAGTCTTCCAAATCCAAAGCAGAGGTCTAGTGACATGAAACTAAGATGGATCTCCATGAAATCAACCATACGTGAGAAGCCTTTGTCAGTGGAAACAATGATGACTGTCCATTTGTTGTTTGGAAGAAACGACTTGATCGAAGAAGCAAGATTGCATGGTGTTGGGCTCCGACACGCCCACTCACCATGGAAGCGAATCACCTCGAGAGAAAACCCTGATTGAGTTTACACAAAACTCAAACCAACCTCGATGTTCCTGTTTCGATATGAAACAATAATAAAAGTGAATATTTCAGTGAGGTGAGATATACACTTTTCCCGATATCAAATCTAGATCTGAATATCGAGGGAACGGCAAGCAATGACAGATACACAGAAAACAATATCCAAAGTAAATGAGACCAGAGATATACGTGGTTGACAAACTTGTCTACGTTCAAGGGAGGGGTGAAGGGAGATTCCACTATGATGGAGAACACCTACGACTTGCTCAACCCACAAGCTCGTCCCAAAGAGATGAAACTTAGATTTTACCCAAGAGAAGACAACCTCTTTATCTCCTCTCCTCAAGATCTCACCTATTTCAGATCTGAAAAAAAAAACTCTCCTTTTTTCTCTGAACAAACCACTCTGCTCTAAGAAAAAAAACCCTAGGAACGGAGTTCTTATTTATATCAAGAAAATAGATCAAAATCGAGTCCGGAAAACCCGATTCCGAGACACCCTCTGGGTGTGTCACGCGCCGAGACACCTCAGGGTGTCTCGCGTTTACGATTCTACACCTTGTACAACATTTGATAAATCTCAAATTTTGGACGAACACCAGAAGAACGCTGCGAGCATCACAAGAGAGATCTGAAACTCCAAATCAGCTGTATCATTATACCATGGCTACCTACGTACCCTCTGATCAGGGATCAAGCTAATCGTAGTTTTGCACATTGTTCTCCATATAGTCGATCTCCACCTCACCCCATTATAGTGCCGAAAGGTTATGCCCTCTTAGGCAGATCAACACGGGCTGATATAAAGCAAGTTCAAGTAATACTGAAACATGCTTCTAGCCACCACTTTGATCAACATGTCTGCGGGATTCTCATTTGTGTGCACCTTCATGAGAGAAATATCACCTTGCTCTATGACATCCCGTACAAAATGATACCTGACATTGATATTCTTGGTACGAGCATGATGAACTTGATTCTTAGCTAAATGAATCGTACTCTGCCTATCGCACCACAAGTTCACACAACCCTGCTCAACCCCCAAATCATCTAGAAGACCCCACAACCACAATGCTTCTTTCACTCCCTCTGCCATGATCATGTACTCAGCCTCTATAGTATAAAGTGTTACTGTAGCCAATAACATCGATCGCCAACTAACTGAAGCACCATGTATTATGAACACATAATCTGTAGTAGATCGTCGTCTATCTAGATTGTCCGCATAATCTGAATCCACAAACCAACTAATCTGACATGTATCTCCACCAAAACACAGACCCGTATCAATGGTACCCTTCAAGTACCTCAGGACCCATTTCACTGCTTCCCAATGCGTCTTTCTCGAATTCGCCATGAACCTACTGACAACACTGACTGCTTATGAAATATCTGGATGTGTACACACCATTGCGTACATCAAACTGCCGACTGTGCTAGCATAAGGAACACGCTCCATGTGTACCTTTTCTTCTACTGTGGTGGGGGATTGTTTACCTGAGAGCCTTAAAATGTAGAGCCAATAGAGTCACCACTACTTAGCACTTTGCATGCCAAACCTTGCGATAATCTGCTCAATGTAGTCTTTCTGACTCAAGAACAATCGCCAATTCGCCCTCTCTCTTCTAATCTCCATACCTAGTATTTTCTTAGCAGCGTTCATGTCCTTCATCTCGAACTCTTTACCAAGTTGAGATTTCAACCTATCTATCTCCACTATGCTTCTCGAAGCAATAAGCATGTCATCCATATACAAAAGAAGATAGATATAATCACATTCACGAAGCTTCCAAATATAGACACAACAATCATAATCGCTTCTGAAAAACCCATGGTTTAGCATGAAGGAGTCAAATCCCTTGTACCACTACCGAGGAGATTGTTTCAACCTATAAAGTGATTTCCTCAAGCAATATACATGATGCTCCTTATCCTCAATCTTGTAACCCTCAGGCTGATGCATATAGATTTCCTCCTCCAAGTCTTCGTACAAGAAGGCCGTTTTGACATCAAGTTATTCTAGTTCAAGATCACCATGAGCAACAATACTCAATAGTACCCAAATAGAAGTGTGTTTTACCATCGGAGAAAAAATCTCATTGTAATCCACACCCTCTCTTTGTGCAAACCCCTTAGCCCCTAGTCCTAGCCTTGTACCTTGTACCGCCGAGCTCGGAAGAATCCTCCTTTCTCTTGTACACCAACTTACAACCAATAGCTTTCTTCCCTATGGGCAATGGGACTACCTCCCATGTTTGGTTCTTCCGGAGAGATTCCATCTCTTTCTCTATCACAGCCAACTAACTCTCACTATCCATATACCAAATAGCTTCTTTAAAGGTGACCGACTCATCATTCTCCATCGATAGTGCGTACTCAACCAAATTTACATGCCCATAGTGCTTCAGAGGCTGATCTGACCCCAACTTCAGAACCTGCTTGTATGCTCGCCTTGGCCTAGCGGAAGCCAAACTATCTTCAAGCTGCTGTTATTGTAGTGCTTGTACATTTTCTTGCTGAACCTCCTCCTGTTCAAGCTCATTATCACTCTTTTCCTGAGTGTCTCCATGATCTTCCTCTTGAACACGACTAGAACCTAGTTGGTCCTTAGGTTCTATCTCAATCACCTGGAACTAAGGTTTTAAATGTCGGATGTCGGGTTCATGTTAGACGACTGAAATCTATGTCAGATAGTGAAAATTGGGGATATATCGGGGGACATGGACTAAATATCGGATTGCCATATCGGGTGGAGTGTATATATATAATATCATATCCTAAATATAATCTAAGCATCCTAAATTCAATATAAGTATATTTTATAAATTTTAGGGGCAGCGTCGGTAATGGGTGGATTCCGATGTCGCAGGGCGGTAGTGTCGACGACGTGATGTCGCAGGGAGGTAGTGCCAGGGCTCTTCTTTTTCTTCTTCGTCTGTTTGGGATCCTTCAGATGAGTTACCGACCATCCTCTTCTCTTTATCTCGACGACAAGATACCCTATCGCCCTCGAGTTCGGTTGGGGTTCGGGTTTCGGGGCACAACGGGAGATGGACGACGGGGGGCTGAGATGGAGGTGGGGGAAGGGTGTTGTCGTTCACGAAAGAAGTGATCGGCTCCAAGTCCGCTGTAGCCCAAATTTTTCTCTATTATTTCTATCGGGTTCATATGAAACCCTTAAACATGAGAATGGGTTAAACAGGTTTGGGTTTTTATCACTAAACTCAAACCTGATAACTAAAAACAGATCTAAAAAAGGGCCATATCGGCTAATTTTTCAAGGCTGAAAAATCAGCCAATATTCCAATATGGCCCCGATATTTTTGATTTGGTTCTAAAAACCGACATATGAGTTGAAAACGCCAATGTCGTGTCGCTCAAGCTCTCAAACCGATATGTCGGCTGACATGTCGGACATATCGGCCGACATTTATCGTGTCGCTCAAGCTCTCAAACCGATATGTCGGCTGACATGTCGGACATATCGGCCGACATTTAAAACCTTGCCTGGGACTTTGAAGTTCTAACAGACTCAACACCATCATTCTTGGATATCCTAGCTATCATGGATTTATCATCAAAGGTAACATCTCTGCTGATCACAAACTAGGAATCTTCTGTATACCAAAGGCGATAGCCCTTTATGCTCACTGCATATCCTAAGAATATTACCTTCTTGGCTCTCGCATCAAGCTTTTTCTCATTGACGTGGTAGTAGGTTGTACATTCGAAAATCCTGAGCCTATCATAATCTGCATGCTCCCCTGACCATACCCGTTAGGGTACATCACCATCCAATATCGAATGTGGAGACCGATTCACTATGTAGCAAGATGTAGCAACTGATTTTGCCCACCATTCTTTGCCCAAACCAGCATATGATGGCATACTCACTGCTTTCTCTCATAATATACGGTTTAGTCTCTCTGTGACTCCATTCTGCTATGGTGTAAATCTGTCTGTCCAGTGTTGTGACGCCCCTGGTTTCATACAAGGCTGCAGTCCAAGGTGAACCCAGAGATATCAAACTTGCCATGCACCCACACTTGTGCATAAACACATTTCACCAATTACAACAGTATCCTCTAGTGGAATCAAAGAAAAGTGCATGTACAAA